CTCTGATGGGCTTCTTCTCCCCATGAGCACCACACCCCTCACTCACAGCACTTGCCCAAGCTCCGACTTCCCCACGTCCCTTTGCCACATTTGTGTTTAACCTCTGTGTCCTCCCTCGGACTGTAAACTCCATGAGGACAGAGATCACGTCTAGCCTGTCCACCTCAGCCTTGTTTTGGTCATGTATTTATTTATTTATTTAAAATATATTTTTGCCCTGACTGGTTTGGATCAGTGGATAGAGTGTCAGCCTGCGGACTCAAGGGTCCCGGGTTCGATTCCAGTCAAGGGCATGTGCCTTGGTTGCGGGCACATCCCCAGTGGAGGGTGTGCAGGAGGCAGCTGATCGATGTTTCTCTCTCATCGATGTTTCTAACTCTCTATCCCTCTCCCTTCCTCTCTGTAAAAAATCAATAAAATATATAATAAAATAAAATAAAATATATTTTTATTGATTTCAGAGAGGAAGGAGGAAGAGGGAGAGAGGGTAGAACATCAATGATGAGAGAGAATCATTGATGGGCTGCCTCCTGCATGCCCCCTACTGGGGACCAAACCCACAACCTGGGCATGTGCCCTTGACCGGAATCGAACCCGGTACCCTTCGGTCCGCAGGCCGACGCTCTATCCACTGAACCAAACCAGCTAGGGTTGGTCATGTATTTATTGAGCATCTACCATGTGCCAGGCACTGTTCCAGATGCTGAGGCCACCTCAGAGAACAGACAAAAAAAAAACATTGACCCCAAAATAAGGGAAGTGGAGTAGAACGCTGGGGCTGCTGTAGCTGTAGAAGTTAGGAAACTTAAAACCTTTTTCTGTGCCCAGCCAGGGCATGGCTCAGTGGTTGATGTTGACCTATGAACCAAGAGCTCGATTCCTAATAGGGGGCATGCAGGAGGCAACCAGTTGATGTTTCTCTCATCATTGATATTTCCATCTTTCTCTCTCTCTCCCTTCCTCTCTGAAATCAATACAAATATATTTTTTAAAAAAAACCAAAAACCTTTTTGTGGGTCCTCAGGATGGAGCCCACGGCCCTCATCAAGGCCATGCGAGCCAGGAGCCCTGGTGGGGGCAGCAGGAGCAGGAAGCAACTGATCTATGTGTTTCTCTTACATTGATTTTTTTTCTCTCTGTTTTTCCCTCTCTCTACCACTCTCTCTAAAAGCTCAATGGAAAAATATCCTCGAATGAAGATTAACAAAATAAACATAAAAAATTCACCCTAGCTGGTTTGCTCAGTGGATAGAGCATCAGCCTGCAGACGGAAGGATCCCTGGTTCAATTCCGGTCAAGGGCACATGCCTGGGTTGCAGGCTCAATCCCCAAAAGAGGGCGTGCAGGAGGCAGCTGATCAATGATTCTCTCTCATCATTGATGTTTCTATCTCTCTCTCCCCCTTCCTTCCTCTCTGAAATCAATTA